AGAAAGAAAGAAAGAAAGAAAGGAAGGAAGGAAGGAAGGAAGGAAGGAAGGAAGGAAGGAAGGAAGGAAGGAAGAGTTGCAAAGACTTACCCACAGGACAATCTAATCAAGGCAATTCTCCAGCTGAGGCTCCCTCTTCCCAGGTGTATCAATTTGACGAAAGTAACAAAGTACTAACCAGCACATGGTTGAAACAGGCAATTGTGGGCATGTCTTTTACACCTGATCTTGGAACTTAAGTTTCTATACCTGGTCTAGGAACTTTGGCCTTAATTCAAGAAGGATGTGTCTGTGTACTGTCTGGCTAGCTGTAGTCAGCATCTGCTATACTAAACAGAAGTAAGCTCAAAAATTATTTGAATGGGAGGTCTCATCTTTCTGTGGCTTGTTGTGGATTATGGTGACCTCATCAATCTAGTCAGATGGCTGTCAAAAACAAGGAGAAAAAAATATCAAGATTCATGGATCCTCCATGTTCCTTGGTAACCTTTGGAGTACTACAGTAGCCAAATCAGCACCCTGACTTGGAAATCTGGGCAGTAACCCCAAAAGAACATAACTAAAGCACAGTGCTTATACCAGAGGTAATGAAGGGATCCTGACTAAGGAAAATGTGCAACTCAGGCCACAGGACTCTGGGGTTTTATAGTTTTCTCACACCTCTGCTATAGTCAAATAGGAAGGAGTGGAGATAACAAATGGAAAATTCTTATTTTCTGTGTGATTTTGCTTCAGGAATATGCCCATTCAAACACCTGCCTACTGGCCACAGTGCTACATGCACCCTTCCCTGCCTGCTTCTTCAGAGGTGCCATGGGAGAGAGACCATTCTCAGGCATCATTGGTAGGTTCTTTTGCTGTGAGCTAATTTAACATTCTTATAAATGTCATTTTGGACAAGGTGGTAAAGAGCAAGAAGTGTGATGTCCTGTGCTAGCAAGATGAAGAGAGGCCTGTTTTTGTTTTCAACTCATGATCCCACTGCAGGTGAATGTTTTAGAACTGGGCTGTCAGCATGTAAGCACTGAGAAAAAGTTGGAAAAAACAGTCACAGGTTTTGATTGTACCAAATGCCGGGTAGTTTTGCAACTGTCTACCTGGTATAATCTAAACCTACACAATATCATGCCCTTTTATTGTCCAGTAAATAGTTTTTTTCAGACTACTAGTGTTTGTAGACCAAGTGGATTGTCCAACTTCGTATTTTCCACATGGCCTCAAGAAAGACCCAGTCGGCAGAGCCTAGAGGCCAGTTCAAAAAGGAAGCAAGAGAGTGGAAATGTCTTTGAGCACTATTGTGAGGCATGTGGAAAGTTCACAAAGGAATTCATTTGCCAAGGGAGGAGTGCAGTGGTAATGGATACAGGGAGAGAAAGGCATTGATTAAAGAAGCTGAGGTACCATTCCATTTTTGTAAACACAAGTTGGTATGACTGTAGATGACACCAGGGGGTGGCCACAATACAATAGGAAGTGATTCTTAATTATCACTGATGAGCCTTAAGGATTATAATTAAAATGTTCATACTGGTAGTGCCAATGAAATGTTCCTTTCTTTGAAATGTGTTGCAATTTATAGTTTGCTGGATCACAGGAAAATTCACTAAACACTCCACAGATCTCACCCCCTTCTCAGCCAAGGGAAGGCATAGAGATGAATTCTATGCCCCAGTTTACATAACTATTGGTCCATTTTTGCACTTAGATTTCCAGTGCACTGATACTCATCCACTAAAGAGACCCATGCCAACATCAGGAGGAATAAGGCAACTAAATTATTAATGAATTTGGATTACTTGTTTATAGCTATAATAGTAAAGATTTGATTTTGGTTCTTCCTCAGACTTTTGGCTGTGAATGGATTATGATGAAGTAATTTTCTGCTTTTTAGGATGCTACACCATCATTTAGCTTGATAAAGTCCTTGAGCCTCATAAACTGTTTGGTGCTGAAACTATAGCAGAATGTAAACAAACAATTTTCATGACTTTATTCAACCATTCACAGATACAGTACTTTTAAAAGTTTTATTTCCAGTCCCTTCAAACTGGCAACAGGTAGTTCTTATCGTACTAAGGTAGTCCGATGATCAAATGACCATGTGACATCCTGTTAGAAGTAAAAATAACCTGAGTGTCCTATGATTTTTTTAAGAGCAAGATTTGAAACTTGTAATTTTTTGGTCCGTGTACACTTGCCCCAGATTATAGTCCTTGGAGTCATGTACATTTCATGTTGAATGAGCCAAGGAAATGACTACATTAACAAGAGAGTTTTTGATGTGTATGTAGTGGTTGCTTTGCCCTGAGAGAATAGCTATAAGTAGAGATTAAACAGTAAACTATGATTTTATTTGAGAAAAATATGAAGAGGTACACTTAATCTCTAGATAAAACTGAGCATAGTTTTTCAATACCTTATCCTATTTCTTAGTTTTCTTCCTGCTTCTGTGATAAATAGTATAGAGGAAAAGGTCCATTTCATCTTACAACTCGCCATACTGGCCCATCATTAAGGGGAGTCACACAGGACAGGCATGGAGGCAAGAACTGAAGCAGAGATCAAGGAGGAACTCTGCCTGCTTACTTGTTCCCCATGGCTTGTTCAGTCTGCTTTCTCATACCACCCAGGACCAGAGGGGGCACTGACAGTGAGTTAGGCCCTCCCATATCAATAATTAATCAAGAAAATTCCCTACATACTTGCCTACAGGCAAGGCATTTTCTCAATTGAAAGTCCTCTTATATAACCCTGGCTTGTGTCAAGTTGACAAAAACCTAACCAGAAGAATGTTAAATTATAATCTAAGTATCTTGTGTTTGGTGTATTCCCCTGCAATATTGTAGTTTGTTCTTCAGTGCCTTTAACATTTTGGCATATAGCTTGTACTTTAGATTTTGGTTGCTATCTTACCAAAATAAGTGTTTCAAGCTTGATTTTTTTTCTCTCTCTCAAATTGTCTTATTTAAAGAGAAAGCTAAAAATCATACTTCTGAGTCAGAGTGTGTATTTTAGTATAAGACTTGGGATTCTTTTTTTTCTTCATATTGCATATATCTGGGCACATCAGAAGTCTGGGTGATGTATAGTGAGTGCGTTAACTAAGCCTGATCAACTCATTTGAGGGCCCTTAGACTTCAGACACAGGCAATTCCTTACTAACTTATGTAAACTCAATCTGGGTCCCTAACTATACTTGAATACTTGTCTTAAACACAGAAATGTGCCGGGCTGTGGTGGTGCACACCTTTAATTCCAGCACTCGATGTGGAGGCAGGTGGATCTCAGTGAGTTCAAGGCCAGCCTTGTCTACAAAGCTATTTCCAGGATGGTTAGAGCTATTACACAGAGAAACCCTGTCTCAAAAAACCTGAATAAACAAACAAACAAACAAAACCACAGAAACACTACATTTTTCCTTTCCTCAAACAGGCATTCTGGAAATTAAGAGCTTATATGGTTAATTTGTGTGGCATCCTAGCTCATATATCATTTGCATCTTATTCATGGTGTCATCTCACAAATTATTAGACTTTAATAACAAATGTATTTTTAAAACTTTTCACATTGAAATTATAGAAGCATTTGATAAAAATAAAACCTCCGTAACACTCTGGTGATCTCGGAACAGGGTAGGAGCCACATAACCCAGAAGGGATGTGTTGTGTCACCCCAAAGAGAAAGTTTGCAAACTCACATATCCTCTAGGTTTCATTCTTTGCTGCATAGCTGGCTTGTTTGTTGCTATTTTCTGAGCTCCTCTTACTAGATCCTCATCATATTAGAGTCAAGCTGGTAAGATTTTTTTCTTAGTGCTGTTGCTGAGTCCAAAGGCAACAGCCAGGGCTTCTCAGTGCTTAACAGAGGTCTTGGGCTTCAAACACTGTTCAGTCTGGTACTAAACAAGTGCTCTATTGAATTGCCTTTTGAGTTTTGTTTCATACAGCTACATTACTTAATTAAAACAAGGTTAAATTTTAAAAGCATCTGCCATTGAGGTTCTGGTGAGACAGCTTGTAGGTAAGATTGCTTGCTGCCCAGCATGATGACATCACTTCAGTCCCTGGGTGCAAGGAGAGTACCAACTCCCATGGGTTGTTTTCTGACCCCAACACATGAGCCAAAGTCCACTCACTCTCCCAGGACATTTGCCTCTGATAACAGATATGTGCAGGTGGCTACGGTCTCATGTAGTTAGTAATAATAATGGCTTACATATGCTATTTTGACATTTGTTTCCTTATGTTTATTTTTATTACTCTACTGGTCATCTTTATGCCTTAATAGAGAGTTTTAAGCCTCAGAATCTTGTCCTGTCTACTTGTGTGATCTACTTTTATTCTTCATTAGTCTGCAGATTTGAAATGGAGCATGAGTTTCTTCAGTCTCTTCTGTTTAGGGTACACAGCTTCATGACTTATTTGGTTTTTCTCTATGATGCTTTTGTTTTGTTTTCTAATAGGAGTGCTAAGCTTTGTGTCCCCCCTCCATTCACATTTAAGAACAAGGGTCTGGGTTATTTTTCTTTATAGATGTTGTGGGTTTCCCCTGCTGTTCTGTATGTAGATCTGATTTCCTGTTTTTGCTGCCCATGAATAGGAAGTCTGTGGGGAAGTTTTTCCATAGTAATTTCACTGTAGGATCAACCTGAGAGTGGACTGGATTTTATATGGTCCAAATATCAGGGGGTAAGGGTGCTTACACATCCTCTGGCCTACCTGATTCTTGCCAGTTTAAATTAAACTCTGCATTTTGGTCTAATTTTAGACTTAGAGACAAGTTACAAGAGCAATTTAAAATTTCTGTGCATCCCTCCCTCAACTTCCCTTAATATTATTGTCTTACCTATAGTATAACTTCCAGGCATTTTTTTTTCTTCCAGGCATTTTTTAAAAGTTTCTTTAGAAATATAATTTTCTGGTTTTTTTCTCTCAAATGCAACCCTGTTTCCAAAACAATGCATGGACCTAAGATAGGCAAGGAGGCAGAGGAAGAGTGAGGAATGTCCACAGGCCCAATAGGCCTTGGACAGACATTAGTTCCCTTTTCTCTTTCTACCCCAATTCAAAACCTCAGTATCCACTGCAGCTGCCTGGTGTGCTTGTTGTGTTTGGAGCATGTGGCTAGCCAGTTCTTTGCTAATATCTCAGTTGACCATTTTCTCCTGTATATTCTTGGCTTTTCTATTACTTTTTCCATCTCAGTCAGTTTTCTCCAGAGAAAGAAAATCAAAATAAAAGGCTGAATGATAGAGCAAAGGCAGAGAAGGGAAAGGGAGAAGGAGTGGGGGTGAGGGTGATTGATTTGTCTTGTTTATGGCTCACCAGTTGTGTGAGATGGGAAGCCCAAAATTCACAGGGTAAACAGACTCAAGTAAAAATTAATCTTGTAGTCTTGGGATCCACATCTGCAGGGCACAGCAAGCAGAAAATTCGAAAGACTGTAGATGCTAAGTTTTCTCCTCATTATCACTATTATTGTTGTGGTGGTGGTAACTACATTAGCTACCCTCTTGACAAGTTGTAAAATACACCATGCATCACTGTTGACTATACGCACAACATTGGCCTGAAAATCTCTAAGGCATATTTATCTTATTTAACTAAAATTTCTGCCCATTGATTAATAATTCCCTGTTCTCTGTGCTATAATCTTGAGGCAAACTTCTTTCTCCAGGAAACCTCAGGTTTGCTTATAAAACTATCATCTGAAAACAGAAATTATCATCTGATCACACAAGGCTCATCTAGATTATAAGGGATAATCTGCTTCCAAGTGTTAATTGCATCATAACACCATCTAGAGTAGTGTTTGATCAAACAGCTGAGTGCTATAGCCCAGCCA